TGTGTCGGTAAGTATTATTATGTCTGACGTGAGTTTAATGTAAAATCTCAGACCAAGTGAGAGTATTTTTTTTTTTATTTTTTCTGTTCATATTTTATTTTTGATTATAGAGACAAGCTAGCCGTCTTTGGATAAGACGAGAAAGCGAGGAGGGGAATTTGAACGCTCGGAGTCGTAGCAGTCGTAGACCTGAAATACCAGATACTCAGCGAGTCTTCATGAGACGGAGTTATGAGGAATCTGGCTTTATACCAACGCGTTATTTTGCCGACATATTTGACGTGACTCTCCAAACCATTAGAAACCATTTACATTACATGGGCTTAAATCACAGGCGTTATGCAAAGAAAATTTATATGACTGACGCTCATAGAATGGCCAGATTAAATTTCGCCATAGAATATTTGGATTTTGATTGGAGTAACACTGTTTTCTGTGACGAGAAAACTTTAAAATCCAGTCAACAGGGGCGTCTACACCTTTGGCAATTCAATAAAACGCGATACACGCAAAATCATGTCGTGCCAAATAGAGATTCGGGCGTATCTCGGTAAATTTGTATGGATGTATGACTGCTAATGGTGTTGGAGACTTGACCTTTTTGCCACCACGAGCAACGGCATCAGATTATGTTGATGTTCTCCAAAATGCTATGTTGCCATCCGTCCGGAACGTTTATCCAGAAAATGAAATGCGTCAATTTAATTATTTACAGGATAACTGTCCCTTACATAAAGCAAGGGTAACACGTGCTTGGTTTGATGCACATCCGGAAATAAACTTGATACCATGGCCTGCAAAATCGCCAGATCTCAACCCTATTGAAAATATGTGGGGTCATATGGTTCAGAGATGGTGTAACCGTAATGAAAGAACAGCAGAAGCACTACAAGGGCACTGCAATGAGGTTTGGGAGGAAACACGTGGGTCTGATATCTCTCAAGACTGGTGGGCTCGATGAGGGAACGTCTCCAAGCTGTTATAGAGGCAGATGGCGGCTACACAAGATTTTAAGAATTATTATTTTATAAAAGAATTGTATATATTTTTTAACAACCAAAGAATTAGCATTTTCACTATCTCTTCTAGTTTTAGCCCTTGTCTCGCACTAAGCTATGGGTCGGCGCAATATGTTTTTCGTCGCTATTCATTTCTGTTATGCGTTATCTCAGTATATTCAGACCTATAACACGCATAGCTTCTTACGCATAGCATTTCACTACCTACTGATTTTTTTTATTTGTATTAAAATATAATTAATCTACATTCTAATGTAGGATATTTGTAGACTATAAGACTTTATTTACGATATTCTAACTCTAAAGTATTTAAACATACAAACAGACAGCCAAAAAAAAATATTTTTGGTTTCTATTAGTCTTATGAAGGCCGTCCATATATTTTTTTTCCAAAATATCTTACAAATGTAACCTTGTTACATTTTTATCATAGGTATAGATAATTACTGTCAAAGGTTACGTCAAAATGATAAAGATAGCAATGATGACGTGTACTTGACGTGTAAAAAAATTAATGCTACGCGAAATCCATAAGGGCATCGCCATTAATTAAAAAGAAGAAGAAGGAAAATCAACCTTGTTGTTAGTTGACGTAACACGCGAAATTCAACCTTAGGGTGGTAGACCACTTTCTTGGCCGACTGTACATCTATACTATTATTATCAAGAAGAAAGATTTGATTTGTGCGTTTGTTTGTTTCCATTGAATAGGCTTTGAAATTACTGGAGCGACTTAAAAAAATATTTCACTTACGGGTAGCTACATTATGCCGATCTACATCTGTACATAAATTTCAACTCAATTTACCTAGTAATTATGCAGACATTTAGCTGTGTTTTACAGACTGTCGGTCAAACAGACAGAAAGGCTAAATATCTTACATGCGCTATTTTTAACCTTTGGCGTTCCTCAACCTAAATCAATTATAAATCTATAAAAAGATAATCACAAATCAAATTGGGATTTATTTTATTAAAAAAGTTTTCAATGGATGTCGACTCTTCACATTTTGTAGACTTGTATCTCTAGCGCTCGACTGATGGTATGGGGTGAAAATAATAAAATATATTTTATATCTACAAATTTATTTATGTACAATATACAAAACAGTAAATTTACAGGCAAGTCGTTATTATTTTCTAATACAATGCTCATTTAATATTATAATCTACAAATTACTAAATTAAGGTAATGGTACAAAAAAATTAACGATCTATAAACTAATTACAATTATTAAACTCTAAACAAATTTAGGTACACCGACAGTACACGTAATTAAAGTATACACCTTATGCGGAAGATATAAAAAAAAGAAAATTCAGACTTCAAAAATGCTTGAAAGAGCAAAGGTAAGGTTAACAAAATCAATATACTTATATTAAAATCAAACTTATCATTATAATAACTTACACAAATCCACGTATGTACTTATTGACTACATCTATTGGTACAAATTGACTACAATATGCATTAATCCGTAATTACAATAGCGGATGAACAATTCTTTTTTAATAATGTCTAGTGTTTACATATTTTTATAACAGAAATCGTTACACTATCTACAGACTAGCCTATTTGTACTAAACAATAGAATATGGAAAACATGTGTTAGTTAAGTTGTAATTTTGGCATCTATTTATTTATTTATTCATGTATTGCATGTATAAAGATGTTACATTTATATTTACAGTTCATGTGACACCCTGTATGGGTGTAGCAAATCCTGAGTATATAGTCTTTATATAATATAATATAATATTGTCAACTTATTATTTAAAATACATCAAATTATAATTATATTGATTGTGCAATGCATATCCTACTTAAGGCTATATATATCTAAAAACAATTTATATTTTATTCATTATATATTATTAATTAACATTGGCATCTACAATAAATGGTTTAATTTATAATAACTTCATCATAACACATTACGTGTGTAATATTTATTTATTTATTGAACTTTTAATGGTAATAGCTAATAATATGTGTTTATCCAAAATATTAAGTAGTAGAGTGTAGTGAAATAATACACTTAAGAAATTCAGGAACAAGTATGAAACCTGCTGTAAACATAGAATTATGTATAGGTAAGTAATTATTGCAAAAAAATATCAGTCTGGTTTTAGAATATTTATCTCTTTGTATCTGCCAAAAAATAAGTAGGTCTTAAAGGAACCACAGCAACACTCTCCATAAGAAACAAAAGAGACAGAAACACAAGTGCGTGTCAACAGCTGAGCCTCACATGTGAATCTTTTCAGCCAAGTCTCTGTCACTTTCCCTTTCCCCTTCCATTGTAAATACTTTATAATAAATATCCGTCTCTCATTGGTTATTATTTTGTCTACAGTTTTGAGTAGTGTTAATTATCTTATTTATTTTCGTATTAAGTATAAGTACTGTAAGATTTCATTCACCTTCAACGGAGTTTTACTACTCAACGATAAGCAAACCTTGGCCCGATTAGAGTTACCAAAGTGGTAACCCCGACGTGATCACCAATCGATACGACATCAAGACAACTACGTGATCCTGCTTCGGAGATGCTAGTTGCAATAAAGGGAGCGCAATTATCGCTCGCAAAAACACCTTTACAGGATGACAAAACGGAAGCGTCGTACGGCCGCCGCTCCGCTGCGTTCTGGCTCGATAAATCACATTTGTGGTACGCCGTTTTTAAAGCAGCAGAAAATGAGCTCCACAAAAAGGAAGCGCAGAAAACTCTGTTGGTCATCGCCCAGTCCACATAAGAAAATGTCGATCAAATCTGCGATCTTTACATACTGCCATTAAAATACTACAGTCATTAAAATATGACAAATATATCTACAAGAGAGGCATCAGACAGCAAGCAACTACAGAGATTACTCTCCGACTTTGAACTCGGCGACCAGAACCGACACAGTTACTACGTCGGATGGAAACGCTCACCCGGACAAAGTTCTAGACAAAACACTACGGCTGATATGGTTGAATCATCTACTACCACACGTACGTTCGGTTGATGTAATTAGCGACACATTAAGCAGATGTACCGCACTCGATGAAATCATCAAGCTGTAGAGCAAAAAGAAATTACCGCAGTATCACTTACTCAATAACAAAGAAGAAAGATGAATCAAACAACGTAACAACGCAAATTTTTGTTCATGCTTCAGAAAATGCATACGGAGATTGATGAACTAAAACAAAAAACAATCCATTATCACAGCAGATGTGGCGGACCGCCACAATATCATAATGCACAACAGAGGAACGACCACAGGATGTGGATCGTCATATCCCCGTCTCTCGACTCGTAAAACTCGTACTTGCTCAAGGTAAAGTCAAAAGACTTTCTGCCTATCCCATTTGAGAAAAGTATTGCTTGCACAAGTTGACAACAGAATGCCCCGTCCTTGTTTTCTTAGCCAATGAGCAACTGAAGCCCTTGTTAGTTTGCAATGTAACCAGAAAGACCTCCCTTTTTTTACTTATGTCTATTGTCTACGTTTCTTATAACTTTTACGAGGTTTGTTCGTTACACTATCAGTCTGTTAGTTTAATTGCAACTTTGGCATCTTAACACCCAATACACTTTATCATAGAAAATGAGTTCTCCAATAAATTTAACTGTAGTGAAGCGAAGCAAAATAATTCATTTGCGAAATGCCAGAGAAAGCATAGCCTAAATCGTAGAGTAATTAAATGAATCGGTAAGTAATTATGGGAGCCTTTCTTTCTTTTCATACAACGGAATAAGTCGCTTGGCCATGTTAATTTTGTTATAGATCAGTATAAAAATAATAACTTTTATTTATTATAGTGAAATACGGTTTGTTCTGTGGTTACTATTTTAAAATAATAATTTCCTCTATACATCCTGACGATGTATATAATATGTATATTATAGAGGAAATTACCTTTTATTCCTATTTCTAATAATTTTTATTAGATCAATAATCGCTATCTAAAATTACCTTGCTACATCCATTTCATTCTGTCACTACTATCAAATTCAAGTCATCACCTTTGAAGATCGGTACAGGTGGATTCAATAGATGAGCGAAACTGTCTATAAAGCATCCTTCTCTCTTGGTACTAATTTCAGCATCGTGTTCAAATAATTTAAGTTTGTACCAACACAATATTGCACTACACTCCGCGTCTTTCAGTGGCGTCACTGACACTATATGGGACCGATTTAAATTGCAATAGTCCGATAGCAGAACAGGATTTGACAACTCTTCATACTTTATCACAGACAAGTCCAGTTCGAGCGCTTGAGTTGTCTGGTACTTGTTAACGTGCGACGCCATTTTGAAGCCAATATTGTCATCTAGTAACTTGTTATTTATATCTAACCAATCACTCGTCGCTAGTTGAAGTGTCACAGTGATACTCGTGGGCAGTAAGAGACCGCCCGGAGCCAAGTGACTGATTCGTAAATTCTGTATAGTCTGCCACATATAAGCGTCGATATCTTCGCGCAGAAGCAACTCCGTAGAAAATATAACATGATGCACCTGATCTTTATAGAATTCTTGTTGCCATCAATCGCCATAAAGGACTGTAATTTTATCCAGTGGTATGTCGTTCGCCTTGAAGGCGGACTGTATAAAGTTTTGGTCTTCCAAACTCCACGCGTCGCAGAGCAAAGATCTTGCACCTCGAAGCATCATTTGAAGCCCGAACATCGGGAATGGACTAAAGTCAATTATATCTGTGTCGGTCATATCTACTATATGCTGCAGATAAGCACAAGCTGCCGGAACACAACGAATTATTGCGTTCATGAAAACTGTCGTTTAGAAATCTAATCAGGGAAATTGAGATTCTCTGTTTGCTGAATTCTGTTTGGAAAGCTATTTTTCCCTCTTTCAACACAAATTTAATTGGTGTGCTCTGATTGATATTTACTTTTGTCGGTACAAAATCCGGAAATACAGCTTGCGACTACCCGTTTGTGCGGCTTTCGCACGGTACAGTAGCGGTAAGCGGGTCATTCGTTAGTTCTATGTATTTTGTTAAGTAAAGTTTAAACCAGCCCACTATCACATCAATTTCACCGTCCTCATTTGCTATTAGGTTAATATCGTAATATGATTTACGATTTTTTGCTACCACATCGTCATATCGATCAAAATTGATATCGAAAACTTAGTGTTCATCCGTCATGATTTTGATATCGTCGTACATATTCAAATCTTCTTTGTAGAATGTTTTTTGTTCAGGTAACATACAGAGCACTTTTGAGTTTGGAATGTTCAAAATTTTCTTCACTGTTTCATGCAGTCGATATTTATTAGCAATACGTTTGCATTTCGCTCCTGCAACATCTTGCACCTCGAAGCATCATTTGAAGCCCGAACATCGGGAATGGACTAAAGTCAATTATATCTGTGTCGGTCATATCTACTATCTGCTGCAGATAAGCACAAGCTGCCGGAACACAACGAATTATTGCGTTCATGAAAACTGTGTCGTTTAGAAATCTAATCGGGGAAATTGAGATTCTCTGTTTGCTGAATTCTGTTTGGAAAGCTATTTTTCCCTCTTTCAACACAAATTTAATTGGTGTGCTCTGATTGATGTTTACTTTTGTCGGTACAAAATCCGGAAATACAGCTTGCGACCACCCCTTTGTGCGGCTTTCACACGGTACAGTAGCGGTACGCGGGTCATTCGTTAGTTCTATGTATTTTGTTAAGTAAAGTTTAAACCAGCCCACTGTCACATCAATTTCACCGTCCTCTTTTGCTATTAGGTTAATATCGTAATATGATTTACGATTTTTTGCTACCACATGGTCATATCGATCAAAATTGATATCGAAAACTAAGTGTTCATCCGTCATGATTTTGATATCGTCGTACATATTCAAATCTTCTTTGTAGAATGTTTTTTGTTCAGGTAACATACAGAGCACTTTTGAGTTTGGAATGTTCAAAATTTTCTTCACTGTTTCATGCAGTCGATATTTATTAGCAATACGTTTGCATTCCGCTCCTGCAACATAATATTCTCCCTTATACGGCAGCGCCCGCGCATCTCGAGCTAGCAGACGTTCCCAAGCACTCTTAAGGTTTCAAGCATACCGTATCGTAAAAGACCCTCGTCAAAATTATTAATTATTACGAATGTACGCTTACCAAGAATGCCAGACGGAATAAAATCTCTTATAGGATGATCTACGAGAGTGATCGAGTAGTCTTGTCGCTCTAGCACAATGCTTTTGCACGAGCTGGGTGAGAGCAGGCAATGAGTTAAAAGCTCACAGTGGACTGCGCCTTGCACCCGCGGGCTATCAGCGCCGATAAACCAATGCCCCCGTCCATGTCTAATATTCGGTCGTATTGAGGTTTTATCTCCATGTACATGGCGGATCCATACGCGGCGTTTCGTGTTTTATCGTTATATAATCTGAACAGACCTCTGTCAAAGATCATTTTCTTCGACTCGTTCATTTTGATTTCAACATTTACAAGGCTCGAATCGAGGTTTAAAGCTTTTTCGTAGTGAATCAGGTCCTCGGCATGCATACCGTAGCTGTAAAAGATGTCACCGATGTCAGTCATTAGAACGATGTTATCGGGAAAAGCGCGTAAGGCATAACGCACGCAGTACATCATTTCGAAGCTGTGTCGTGGCATTTTGAACAACGCTTCCATTAATTTGGCCAACACCACGCGGAACTCGTATTCTTTATATATTTTCACGGTTGGGTGCTTTTCTATTGCCGTTAAATAAGACTTGAAAGCGTCCCGGTATTCTCCTTGGGCAGTCAAACGACGAGCTTCATTAATCTCCAAATACTCCATTTGGAAATTATTATGTAAATAGCACTTTAAAAGTATAAACTATCAATAGAAGCTATTGCACACACAGTTATTGCACTTTTGGTGGTATCTAAAATTACCTTGCTACATCCATTTGATTCTGTCACTACTATCAAATTCAAGTCATCACCTTTGAAAATCGGTACAGGTGGATTCAATAGATGAGCGAAAGTGTCTATAAAGCATCCTTCTCTCTTGGTACTAATTTCAGCATCGTGTTCAAATAATTTAAGTTTGTACCAACACAATATTGCACTACACTCCGCGTCATTCAGTGGCGTCACTGACACTATATGGGACCGATTTGAATTGCAATAGTCCGATAGCAGAACAGGATTTGATAGCTCTTCATACTTTATCACAGACAAGTCCAGTTCGAGCGCTTGAGTTTTCCGGTACTTGTTAACGTGCGACGCCATTTTGAAGCCGATATTGTCATCTAGTAACTTGTTATTTATATCTAACCAATCACTCGTCGCTAGTTGAAGTATCACAGTGATACCCGTGGGCAGTAAGAGACCGCCCGGAGCCAAACGACTGATTCGTAAATTCTGTATAGTCTGCCACATATGAGCATCGATATCTCCACGCACAAGCAACTCCGTAGAAAATATAACATGATACACCTGATCTTTATAGAATTCTTGTTGCCAACAATCGCCACAAAGGACTGTAATTTTATCCAGTGGTACGTCGTTCGCCTTGAAGACGGACTGTATAAAGTTTTGGTCTTCCAAACTCCACGCGTGGCAGAGCAAAGATCTTGCACCTCGAAGCATCATTTGAAGCCCGAACATCGGGAATGGACTAAAGTCAATTATATCTGTGTCGGTTATATCTACTATCTGCTGCAGATAAGCACAAGCTGCCGGAACACAACGAATTATTGCGTTCATGAAAACTGTGTCGTTTAGAAATCTAATCGGGGAAATTGAGATTCTCTGTTTGCTGAATTCTGTTTGGAAAGCTATTTTTCCCTCTTTCAACACAAATTTAATTGGTGTGCTCTGATTGATGTTTACTTTTGTCGGTACAAAATCCGGAAATACAGCTTGCGACCACCCCTTTGTGCGGCTTTCACACGGTACAGTAGCGGTACGCGGGTCATTCGTTAGTTCTATGTATTTTGTTAAGTAAAGTTTAAACCAGCCCACTGTCACATCAATTTCACCGTCCTCTTTTGCTATTAGGTTAATATCGTAATATGATTTACGATTTTTTGCTACCACATGGTCATATCGATCAAAATTGATATCGAAAACTAAGTGTTCATCCGTCATGATTTTGATATCGTCGTACATATTCAAATCTTCTTTGTAGAATGTTTTTTGTTCAGGTAACATACAGAGCACTTTTGAGTTTGGAATGTTCAAAATTTTCTTCACTGTTTCATGCAGTCGATATTTATTAGCAATACGTTTGCATTCCGCTCCTGCAACATAATATTCTCCCTTATGCGGCAGCGCCCGCGCATCTCGAGCTAGCAGACGTTCCCAAGCACTCTTAAGGTTTCAAGCATACCGTATCGTAAAAGACCCTCGTCAAAATTATTAATTATTACGAATGTACGCTTACCAATAATGCCAGACGGAATAAAATCTCTTATAGGATGATCTACGAGAGTGATCGAGTCGTCTTGTCGCTCTAGCACAATGCTTTGCACGAGCTGGGTGAGAGCAGGCGATGAGTTAAAAGCTCACAGTGGACTGCGCCTTGCACCCGCGGGCTATCAGCGCCGATAAACCAATGCCCCCGTCCATGTCTAATATTCGGTCGTATTGAGGTTTTATCTCCATGTACATGGCGGATCCATACGCGGCGTTTCGTGTTTTATCGTTATATAATCTGAACAGACCTCTGTCAAAGATCATTTTCTTCGACTCGTTCATTTTGATTTCAACATTTACAAGGCTCGAATCGAGGTTTAAAGCTTTTTCGTAGTGAATCAGGTCCTCGGCATGCATACCGTAGCTGTAAAAGATGTCACCGATGTCAGTCATTAGAACGATGTTATCGGGAAAAGCGCGTAAGGCATAACGCACGCAGTACATCATTTCGAAGCTGTGTCGTGGCATTTTGAACAACGCTTCCATTAATTTGGCCAACACCACGCGGAACTCGTATTCTTTATATATTTTCACGGTTGGGTGCTTTTCTATTGCCGTTAAATAAGACTTGAAAGCGTCCCGGTATTCTCCTTGGGCAGTCAAACGACGAGCTTCATTAATCTCCAAATACTCCATTTGGAAATTATTATGTAAATAGCACTTTAAAAGTATAAACTATCAATAGAAGCTATTGCACACACAGTTATTGCACTTTTGGTGGTATCTAAAATTACCTTGCTACATCCATTTGATTCTGTCACTACTATCAAATTCAAGTCATCACCTTTGAAAATCGGTACAGGTGGATTCAATAGATGAGCGAAAGTGTCTATAAAGCATCCTTCTCTCTTGGTACTAATTTCAGCATCGTGTTCAAATAATTTAAGTTTGTACCAACACAATATTGCACTACACTCCGCGTCATTCAGTGGCGTCACTGACACTATATGGGACCGATTTGAATTGCAATAGTCCGATAGCAGAACAGGATTTGATAGCTCTTCATACTTTATCACAGACAAGTCCAGTTCGAGCGCTTGAGTTTTCCGGTACTTGTTAACGTGCGACGCCATTTTGAAGCCGATATTGTCATCTAGTAACTTGTTATTTATATCTAACCAATCACTCGTCGCTAGTTGAAGTATCACAGTGATACCCGTGGGCAGTAAGAGACCGCCCGGAGCCAAGCGACTGATTCGTAAATTCTGTATAGTCTGCCACATATGAGCATCGATATCTCCGCGCACAAGCAACTCCGTAGAAAATATAACATGATACACCTGATCTTTATAGAATTCTTGTTGCCAACAATCGCCACAAAGGACTGTAATTTTATCCAGTGGTACGTCGTTCGCCTTGAAGACGGACTGTATAAAGTTTTGGTCTTCCAAACTCCACGCGTGGCAGAGCAAAGATCTTGCACCTCGAAGCATCATTTGAAGCCCGAACATCGGGAATGGACTAAAGTCAATTATATCTGTGTCGGTTATATCTACTATCTGCTGCAGATAAGCACAAGCTGCCGGAACACAACGAATTATTGCGTTCATGAAAACTGTGTCGTTTAGAAATCTAATCGGGGAAATTGAGATTCTCTGTTTGCTGAATTCTGTTTGGAAAGCTATTTTTCCCTCTTTCAACACAAATTTAATTGGTGTGCTCTGATTGATGTTTACTTTTGTCGGTACAAAATCCGGAAATACAGCTTGCGACCACCCCTTTGTGCGGCTTTCGCACGGTACAGTAGCGGTACGCGGGTCATTCGTTAGTTCTATGTATTTTGTTAAGTAAAGTTTAAACCAGCCCACTGTCACATCAATTTCACCGTCCTCTTTTGCTATTAGGTTAATATCGTAATATGATTTACGATTTTTTGCTACCACATCGTCATATCGATCAAAATTGATATCGAAAACTAAGTGTTCATCCGTCATGATTTTGATATCGTCGTACATATTCAAATCTTCTTTGTAGAATGTTTTTTGTTCAGGTAACATACAGAGCACTTTTGAGTTAGGAATGTTCAAAATTTTCTTCACTGTTTCATGCAGTCGATATTTATTAGCAATACGTTTGCATTTCGCTCCTGCAACATAATATTCTCCCTTATACGGCAGCGCCCGCGCATCCCGAGCTAGCAGACGTTCCCAAGCACTCTTAAGGTTTTCAAGCATACCGTGTCGTAAAAGACCCTCGTCAAAATTATTAATTATTACGAATGTACGCTTACCAATAATGCCGACGGAACAAAATCCCTTATAGGATGATCTACGAGAGTGATCGAGTTGTCTTGTCGCTCTAGCACAATGCTTTGCACGAGCTGGGTGAGAGCAGGCGATGAGTTAAAGCTCACAGTGGACTGCGCCTTGCACCCGCGGGCCATCAGCGCCGATAAACCAATGCCCCCGTCCATGTCTAACATTCGGTCGTATTGAGGTTTTATCTCCATGTACATGGCGGATCCATATGCGGCGTTTCGTGTTTTATCGTTATATAAATAATCTGAACAGACCTTTGTCAGAGATCATTTTCTTCGACTCATTCATTTTGATTTCAACATTTACAAGGCTCGAATCGAGGTTTAAAGCTTTTTCGTAGTGAATCAGTGCCCCGGCATGCATACCGTAGCTGTAAAAGATGTCACCGATGTCAGTCAGTAGAACGATGTTACCGGGAAAAGCGCGTAAGGCATAACGCACGCAGTACATCATTTCGAAGCTGTGTCGTGGCATTTTGAACAACGCTTCCATTAATTTGGCCAATACCACGCGGAACTCGTATTCTTTATATATTTTCACGGTTGGGTGCTTTTCTATTGCTGTTAAATAAGAGTTGAAAGCGTCTCGGTATTCTCCTTGGGTAGTCAAACGACGAGCTTCATTAATCTCCAAATACTCCATTTGGAAATTATTATGTAAATAGCACTTTAAAAGTATAAACTATCAATAGAAGCTATTGCACACACAGTTATTGCACTTTTAATGGACACTTGAACGTTTATTTCTCACGTCCGGCGTACGTCCGGCGGGTACGACGGTCGCGTATGAACTGCTGGGTTGTTATATGCAGTCTTCGTAAGTCGGAGCCGTAGTCACTTTGTTAACTTTATTTGTCTTAACAACAAAAGATTTCTTGATGCACAATACAAGCATGGTATTTTTGTTAATCTGTATTACGCTTTGACCTTCTCGGAAATAGTTTGAGCTTTTAGGTTACGGAAAGGGATTCGTATTTTTCCAATTTTTAGTCCTATGGTTAATTTAGGTGTTGTGTTTTTGATTCCTACATATTGTCAAGTTATATTTAAATTTTTCAAATAATTCATATATTGTTAAAGTGAACAGATTCGTATATTCACGTTATAAGCTTTAAAAATATAAGCGTCTACAGAAAGGATAAATATAATTCTTATTATTCATAAAATTTAAAGTTGGATGGAAGTTGTGTGCATTAAGTACTCGATGGAATATTACTCGGCTATTTGCAAGAACCTAACACGTGTTAGTTACTGGTTTCATTTGGCAAACAGGCTAATAAAACAAACCAATGTTCTGTCAAGTATATTGCCACGTGGCAATTATTTGACAAATACGCAACACATAAACGAATAGCATTCGGGGCATACCTAAACGACACTTTCATATTGTCTTTTTGGTACTTCCTACTATTCCAAGCTATTGACTTGTCATTTAAAAAATTAAAAGCTAAAGACCATTAAATCGAATGTCATATTAGCACGTTTTATTATGTCAATACTTTAAAAATGAATAGCCCACGTGCGAGGCGGACTCACACTATTTTTTTCAATTTTATTTGGTTATCTACACTTTGTATATAATGCATTATATCCGAAAACGTTGAAGGATTTTATTCTAATTGTACAACTACTTAAAGAGAAACACAAAATGCATTAAATAACTTTCCAGTATCAATTTAGTTTCTAACAAAAAAAAAAAAACAAATACCATATCGCAATTAACTTTGTAGAAAACATATAATTGTTTCAAAACAGTAAATTTTGCCATTCACTACGTAACAAGCAGGATAGAAACAAAAGCCGGCACACGACTATCGTTGGGTTAGACGAAAAACTTAGACAATATAAAAAAAATAATCGTCATTTAACTTTTACATCTCCACCTATCCTCTAGCTAGTCCCTTTAAACATATACACGTAGACATCGTTTGACCGCTCCCTTCAATCGCGAAATGATTACCAGAAGCAAGCAACACATACAATTATCGTATTAGTCTGACCGAGATTGTCTAGAAACATTGGATTGCTCGCTTTGGATGTCCAACCAAACTAGCAAGCGTCAGAGTCGATGACTCAAAAGCCACTTATTCAACAACCTAATAAAAATTACGAGATCAAAGTAAATGTCGTCGAATGGTGACATCACAACTAAAGACTAAGAGACACATAAACGTCGATTAACGAGTTACCGACCGTGAAGATTTTAGTAAATAAATATTATGTCATGAGATGAATCTAGTTAGTACCCTATAAAAGAAAGAGTCAGAGTGCTAATACTAAGCACGACTAAGACAGCATTTCTATCTAATTAGTGAATTCAAAAAGTCCCAAGTCGAACGTCAATCATGCGACCTGATGATATTTCTTTTATTTATGGAGAAAAAGAAAGGGACAGTAGAAAAGAAAGAGACAGAGATGACAGTTTTTATCTGATTTGCACAAATCATGTTAAAAACACTTTTAACTTGCAAATCGTATATAGGGTTAATGCGACCCCAATGCACATGTTTTTTTTATTTATGGAAGTAATTAAAACTTTTATGTGGCATATTGCATGCCGTTAGAAAGAAGATAGACCAAAGAACTTTTAAAAAAATTGGAAGATCATAATCAAAGGTAGTTTTTTTTTATTGCAATCGAAAGTTGAAAGTTTAAATAAAAATTTATTTCTTTCAAAAACATTTTAATTCACAAAAAAAAGTTGTGATGCTACTACTGCGTTATTTTCATTCCAGGAGATCCGCATTACATTGAACATTAAATCAAAACCAAAAAATGGTGGCAATAACAATTACTTTTTTTTAGTTTGAAGTTAAGTGCTCAATTTCGGATTTTTTCAAGAAAAGAACTAAAATTTATCCATAAATTATTCCGTGACGTGTGGATTTTAATATTTTTCTTAGCTGATGTCGGTAGCTTCAAATCGACTGACTTCTATCCGGAATTTCTCTTTACTGGCAAACGATGAACGACACGAAATCTTTGGACTCGCTGTATATCTTAAATCTATTGTTGGAAATTAAAAGGAAGACTATTTGAAACTTAACTAAGTATCGTACTTACTCGTACAATTTTATGACATCGTAACTACCATTAACGTTTTGGCTGATATTTATCATGAATGAAGTTGATGAACTTTTTATTAGGCCAAATAACTGATCTTAATGGAGGTTACTACTTTAAAATAATAATTTCCTCTATACATCCTGACGACATACATAATATGTATATTATAGAGGAAATTACCTTTTATTCCTATTTCTAATTATTTTTATTAGATCAATAATCTGTATCTAAAATTACCTTGCTACAGCCATTTGATTCTGTCACTACTATCAAATTCAAGTCATCACCTTTGAAGATCGGTACAGGTGGATTCAATAGATGAGCGAAACTGTCTATAAAGCATCCTTCTCTCTTGGTACTAATTTCAGCATCGTGTTCAAATAATTGAAGTTTGTACCAACACAATATTGCACTACACTCCGCGTCTTTCAGTGGCGTCACTGACACTATATGGGACCGATTTAAATTGCAATAGTCCGATAGCAGAACAGGATTTGATAGCTCTTCATACTTTATCACAGACAAGTCCAGTTCGAGCGCTTGAGTTGTCCGGTACTTGTTAACGTGCGACGCCATTTTGAAGCCGATATTGTCATCTAGTAACTTGTTATTTATATCTAACCAATCACTCGTCGCTAGTTGAAGTATCACAGTGATACTCGTGGGCAGTAAGAGACCGCCCGGAGCCAAGTGACTGATTCGTAAATTCTGTATAGTCTGCCACATATGAGCGTCGATATCTCCGCGCAGAAGCAACTCCGTAGAAAATATTACATGATACACCTGATCTTTATAGAATTCTTGTTGCCAACAATCGCCATAAAGGACTGTAATTTTATCCAGTGGTATGTCGTTCGCCTTGAAGACGGACTGTATAAAGTTTTGGTCTTCCAAACTCCACGCGTGGCAGAGCAAAGATCTTGCACCTCGAAGCATCATTTGAAGCCCGAACATCGGGAATGGACTAAAGTCAATTATATCTGTGTCGGTCATATCTACTATCTGCTGCAGATAAGCACAAGCTGACGGAACACAACGAATTATTGCGTTCATGAAAACTGTGTCGTTTAGAAATCTAATCAGGGAAATTGAGATTCTCTGATTGCTGAATTCTGTTTGGAACGCTATTTTTCCCTCTTTCAACACAAATTTAATTGGTGTGCTCTGATTGATCTTCACTTTTGTCGGTACAAAATCCGGAAATACAGCTTGCGACCACCCCTTTGTGCGACTATCGCACGGTACAGTAGCGGTACGCGGGTCATTCGTTAGTTCTATGTATTTTGTTAAGTAAAGTTTAAACCAGCCCACTATCACATCGATTTCACCGTCCTCTTTTGCTATTAGGTTAATATCGTAATATGATTCACGATTTTTTGCTACCACATCGTTATATCGATCAAAATTTATATCGAAAACTAATTGTTCATCCGTCATGATTTTGATATCGTCGTACATATTCAAATCCTCTTTGTAGAATGTTTTTTGTTCGGGTAACGTACAGAGCACTTTTGAGTTGGGAATTTTCAAAATTTTCTTCACTGTTTCATGCAGTCGATATTTATTAGCAATACGTTTGCATTTCGCTCCTGCAACATAATATTCTCCCTTATACGGCAGCGCCCGCGCATCCCGAGCTAGCAGACGTTCCCAAGCACTCTTAAGGTTTTCAAGCATACCGTGTCGTAAAAGACCCTCGTCAAAATTATTAATTATCACGAATGTACGCTTACCAATAATGCCGGACGGAACAAAATCCTTTATAGGATGATCTACGAGAGTGATCGAGTCATCTTGTCGCTCTAGCACAATGCTTTGCACGAGCTGGGTGAGAGCAGGCGATGAGTTAAAGCTCACAGTGGACTGCGCCTTGCACCCGCGGGCCATCAGCGCCGATAAACCAATGCCCCCGTCCATGTCTAATATTCGGTCGTATTGAGGTTTTATCTCCATGTACATGGCGGATCCATATGCGGCGTTTCGTGTTTTATCGTTATATAATCTGAACAGACCTCTGTCAAAGATCATTTTCTTCGACTCGTTCATTTTGATTTCAACATTTACAAGGCTCGAATCGAGGTTTAAAGCTTTTTCGTAGTGAATCAGTGCCTCGGCATGCATACCGTAGCTGTAAAAGATGTCACCGATGTCAGTCAGTAGAACGGTGTTACCGGGAAAAGCGCGTAAGGCATAACGCACGCAGTACATCATTTCGAAGCTGTGTCGTGGCATTTTGAACAACGCTTCCATTAATTTGGCCAATACCACGCGGAACTCGTATTCTATATATATTTTCACGGTTGGGTGCTTTTCTATTGCTGTTAAATAAGAGTTGAAAGCGTCTCGGTATTCTCCTTGTTCAGTCAAACGACGAGCTTCATTAATCTCCAAATACTCCATTTGGAAATTATTATGTAAATAGCACTTTAAAAGTATAAACTATCAATAGAAGCTATTGCACACACAGTTATTGCACTTTTAGTGGACACTTGAAGGTTTATTTCTCACGTCTGGCGTACGTCCGGCGGGTACGACGGTCGCGTATGAACTGCTGGGTTGTTATATGCAGTCTTCGTA